TTAGAAGAGGAAAATCGGAATAACACTACCACCCACATCTCAGAAATCCTCGAAAATGTTAAAATAATTTTGGAAAATAAAACCGATGAAATGTCGAAATTGACCCATGAATCTCAGAAAACCCGCGATAAAGTTATTGTTCGCAATTCAACAACAACGTTCAGTCCTTCGGATCCCGAAGAAGAATCTATCTCAAACATTGATGAAACACAAGGCTCTAGACAGAATGGAGCTAGTGAAAATGCCATCGACAATATTGCAATTCTTGCGGCGGATTCTCAGGGTACAACATCAACAAGCAGACCATTGAATCCTGAGCAGAATGCAAATGAATCATCATCAGAAGCATCAGCTAGAGAAAGCTCAAGTTCTGTAACAACAATAAGTCCTGAAATTGCAAAGGAATATGGATCGAAAACCTCACAAGAAGAACAGGATACACTGAGCGAAAATACCATTTATTTAGGGAAGGAAAATCTGAATGAAACATCCACTGAAACCACAAATTCCTCAGAAATGGAAATACGACCTGAAGACCAAACCAGCGAAACTTTAAAGCAGCCCAAAGAATCTCAAGAAAACTCCACTATATTTAATGTTCCGGATAGACCATCAACGTCCAATCCTTTGGGTTCAGAACAAGAAACAGTAGACGCCAGGGAAAAGGAAGCTATGGAAGATTTCCTCGACGGACAACCGATAAGTTCCAAAGAAAATAATACGGAAGAAAAACTTGGGATTCCTTCAGATGTAAAAGATTTCAATTCTGAGACCTCAGATTCCCCACACATAGACGATGATGTTGAAATAATATCTAAAAACTCATCCCAGTTTGTTGGTAGCCAAATGAAAATGCCCAAGGGGTCACAAGAATTTCAGAAAACCTCATCAACTGTCAGTACATTGAACACCGAACAAGAAACAAGCTTACACTTTAATGAAATGCCAGACGCTGCGGAGAAGGAGGCTGCGGAAAATCCTCTCGACGATAATAGACGTTTTGAGGTTGACAAAGAAACAAGTTTAGATGAACAGAACAGGGGAGGGGAAATTGAGCATCAGGATACAACATCAAGGACCATACCATTGGCTGAAATACCAAACACAGAAGAGAATAAGGCTGCGGAAAATCATCTCGATGATAGTGAAACTCTAGAGTCATCTGCAGTGGAAATCTCAAGACCTGAAACAACAATAAGCCCAGAAATTGCAAAGGATCTGAATGTAATAGACACTGAGATACGATCTAAAGACCAAACCAACGAAACTTCAAAGCAAACCAAGGAATCTCAGGAAATCTCTGATATATTTAATGTTTCGGATACACCATCAGCTTCCAGTCCTTTGGATCTCGGAGAAGAAACACCATACGCTGGCGAGACGGAGGCAGTGGAAAATTCTCTCGACAATAGTGAATCTTTTCGGGTTGTAGGTCAACAAATAAGTTCCGAGGAAAATTATAAGGATGAAAAACTAGATATACCTTCAGATGTAAAAGATGGCAATGGAGAGATCAGTGGTACATCAGATTCCTCAGACATCAGCGAAGATGTCGAAATAATATCTAAAAACCCATCGCGATATATTGGTGGCCAAATAAAGATGGCAAAGGAGTCTGAAGAAACTCAGGAGAGCTCAGATAAATTTAATATTCCCAATGCAACACTAACTTCCAGTCCATGGGATAACGAACATGGAACAACTACAATCCTTCATGAAACTCAAGACGCTGAGGAGAAGAAAGCTGTGGAAAATTTCCTTGACAATCGGGAATTCGTTGCCACTGAAAATCAACAAATAAGTTCCGAGGAAACCAATGCGGAAGAAAAAATTGAGCATCAGGATGTATTATCAACTACCAGACCTTTTGATCCCGACAAAGATGCAAATAAAACCCTACAATCTTCAGCCGGAGAAACCTCAAGTTCCGAAACAACAATAAGCCCCGAGATCTCAAACGGATATGAGTCCAGAACAACAACCGCAGAACTGGATACATTTAGCGGAATCACCACTTTATCACAACATAATAATCGAAGTGAAACAGCCATTGAGACCTCAGATTCCTCAGACAAAGGATCAGATATTGATATACAATCTGAAGACCAAAGCAGCGAAACGTCCAAGCAGTCCCAAGAATCTCAGGAATCTTCTGATACAGGTAATGTTCCTGATACACAATCAACATCCAGTTCATTGGTTAGCGAACAAGAAGCGCCAGATGCCAGGGTGAAGGAAGCTGTGGAAGGTTTCGTCGAGAGTAGAGAAACTTTTGGGGTTGTAGAGCAACAGAAAAGTTCCGCGGAAAATATTGCACAAGAAAACATTGAGTTCACTTCAGAAGTAAAAGTGTCCAACGGAGAGACCAGCGGCACTTCAGATTCCTCAGACATCGTCGAAGATGTTGAAATAATATCGGAAAACCCATCCAAATATATTGGTAGCAAAATGAAGATGACAAAAGAGTCTCAAGATACTTCGAAAACCTCGAATAAATTTAATGTTACCGATGCAACATCAACCTCCAATTCATTGGATAACGAAGACGGATCAACTACAGATGCTAGGGAGAAGTGAGCTATGGAATCTTCCCTTGACAATATTGAAAATGTTGCCACTGAAGATCAACAAATAAGTTCCAAGGAAAATAATTCGGAAGAAAAAAATGAGCTGCAGGATGCAACATCAACTACTAAGCCTTTGGATCCTGAGGAAGATGCAAATAAAATTCTAGAATCATCAGTCGGAGAAATCGCAAATTCTGAAATAACAATAAGTCCTGAAAACGCAAAAGAATATACCTCGAGAAAAACAACCGGGGAACAGGACACATTTAAGGGAATCGCAACCACTGAGACCTCCGATTCCTCAGACAAAGGTAAAGATGTTGCAATAGTATCAGCAGGCCAAACTGGTAAAATGTCTAAGCAGCCGCAAGAATCTCAGGAAACCTCAGATAAATTTGCGGTTCCGCATACAACATCAACTTTCAGTCCAATGGATAACGAAGAAGGAACAATCTCAAACATTGATGAAACACAAGGCTCTAGACAGAATGGAGCTAGTGAAAATGCCCTCGACAATATTGCAATTCTTGCGGCGGATTCTCAGGGTACAACATCAACAAGCAGACCATTGAATCCTGAGCAGGATGCAAATGAATCGTCATCAGAAGCATCAGCTAGAGAAAGCTCATGTTCTGTAATAACAATAAGTCCTGAAATTGCAAAGGAATATGGATCGAAAACATCACAAGAAGAACAGGATACACTGAGCGAAAATACCATTTATTTAGGGAAGGAAAATCTGAATGAAACATCCACTGAAACCACAAATTTCTCAGAAATGGAAATACGACCTGAAGACCAAACCAGCGAATTTTTAAAGCAGCCTAAAGAATCTCAAGAAAACTCCACTATGTTTAATGTTCCGGATACACCATCAACGTCGAATCCTTTGGGTTCCGAACAAGAAACAGCAGACGCCAGGGAAAAGGAAGCTGTGGAAGATTTCCTCGACGGACAACCGATAAGTTCCAAAGAAAATAATACGGAAGAAAAACTTGAGATTCCTTCAGATGTAAAAGATTTCAATCCTGAGACCTCAGATTCCTCACACATAGACGAAGATGTTGAAATAATATTTAAAAACTCATCCCAATTTGTTGGTAGCCAAATGAAAATAGTATCAGCAGGCCAAACTGGTAAAATGTCTAAGCAGCCGCAAGAATCTCAGGAAACCTCAGATAAATTTGCGGTTCCGCATACAACATCAACTTTCAGTCCAATGGATAACGAAGAAGGAACAATCTTTGATGAAAATCAATACGTCGGGAAGACAGACAATCCTGTCGACGATAGTGAACATTTTGAAGTCGGAAAACATCAAATAACTGCCGAAGAATATGATACGAATGAAGGAATTGAGATTCCTTCAGATGTAAAAGATTTCAATACAGAAACGTCTCATACACCCGATTCCTCAGACATTGTGGAAGATGTGAAAACAATATCCAAAAACCCAACCGACTTTGTGGGAAGCCAAGTGAAGATGCCAAAGAAGACCCAAGAAACTCTGAAAAGCTCTGATAAATTGAATCTTCCTGATACAGCATTAATTTCCAAGCCATTAGATCCCGAGGAGGAAGAGCAAAATACTTCGAAGAAGCCATCAAAGGAAATATCCCTTGACAGCAATCGAATTTTTGAGGATTCAAATAGTAATAACGATGTTGATATTCGGTATGCAAAATCATCCCCAAGTCCATTGGATGCCGAACAAGAAACCGAAGCAAATTCCCTACACAACCACAACCCAATTCCTGGCAGCGGTAACCCACAATTAATCTCCAACGAAACTAATGGCGAAGACGCATTTAGGGGCCATATAAAAATATTTTCAAAGGAAATCACTACGTCGGCAGATAATGTAAACAATGAACCAATTTCTGAGGCGGGATATTCAACTGAAGGTAATACGCTTAAGGGTAAGAGAACTTTTTTTTTAGATTCGAAGAAATGTTTTCAATAAATTATGCTTTCAATTACAGATTATAATGTGCCAGGTTCGGAGGCAATTATTGGAAAATCATCTTCACGAAAGGAATCTGAAAATATTGAAGACGATTTTGCTCTCCGAACGGATTTCTCTTCGGAATCATTTATTAGTGATGGTAAAAATTTTATCAGCTCGGATCCATACCGGCTCAATAGAAAAATAATTACAACAGCTGTACCAAATTTAAACAAAAATACTACGGATACTCCTAAAAGTATGCAGCAGGCAAGTGTGGAGTCTAGGGTGACATCTACATCGGGGAAATCCCAATCAACGGATAATGATGATGCACATAGAAGCTCTCAAAAAATACTCAATGAAATAATTCCGGTAGAAATCTCTAACTCAGATAAGATAAGAACTTCGGAAGCGACGGCTAAAGAAAATTCAGAGGAAGATGACAACGGAAAAATTCCGAAAGAACCAATTGAAATTCCGAAGGGTAATGAAATTGACGAAGACGTCAACAGCTCTGAAATTATTTCCAATGAAGAAACTCTGCAAGAGAGTGGAGAAGTTATAATTTCCACAACATTTAATAATACTAGGGAGAATAACGTCGAGACCTCCGATAAAACACTCAAGCAAGTGGATTCATTTGTAGAACACGATATTCTAAAATCGGCTGATGATTCTCAAAGTCGTAACGCTACGGTGAGTTACCTTGAGCGCTCTGGAGAAACTCCCAGGCAATTGCAATCACTTCCAGATACAAAATATGAAATTCAAGAAGTTGGCAATGATCTTCAAAATCCACAGACCATTACAACACCGACGCCAGGTGGTAATTCTACAGTGACGAATAGCTCCCTACCACAACAAGTGGAAAAAACATTGCAGCCGGTACAACCTGTAAGAGGTGACATCTCCGCCATGGAAATTAATATATCTCGTTCCGAAGCAACATCTGATGATTCTGAAAGTGAAAACGCCACGGTGAATACTCTTGAGGGCACTGGAGAAATTCCCAAGCAATTGGAATCACTTCTAGACACAAAATATAAAATTCCGGAAGACGACAATGATGTTCAAAATATCCCCATACCTCAACATGTGGAAGATACATTGGAACCTGAGCAAAATTTAAGAGATGGCATCTCCAAAAAAGTTCCTCTGGTAGAGTCTTTCTCTGAAACCCAAGTTCCTCGGGTAGAGTCTTCAACTACTAAGGAAATAGAAAATATCGGAGGAGGAGACAATTTTACTTCAAACCCACCAACTAAATCCCATGACTCCGTGGAGTCATCAGCAAATATCCTGAAAGAAGCATTCAAGGAAAATAATATCATCAATGAGGAGTATCTATCACGAGGATCTGCTAGTCAAACGGATTACCAAAAGATCAGATTAGACCCGATGCTTGAAGAGGAAAATAAAGTCAGTATAGATTCCTTGACAACAGAAATTCCGATCTTTGATGCTGCGTCCTATGAAATCGTTATGAAATCCACAAATCAGTCCCATATTTTGAATAAGAACAATGACGAACAAGTCAAGATAACTGAGGTAACAACTGATAAAATCGTGACCTCTTCTTCCACAGAATATTCTAAACTTGAACCTCCAATGTCTGAAAACTCTGAAAGTCTACAAAATTTCAAGAATGAGAATGGGGTAGAGGGTCTCACAGTTCTGGAACCTAAAGACGGAGTTTCTACGTATGCATACATCTCCGAGGAATCTACGGATATTTTTACTGTAGACACTGAAGTAAATATCAGGACAACTGAGGCGACCCGTGAGAAAATCGTGACCTTAATTGCCACAACTTCCGTAAAAGATGAGGTCATGTCTTCCACAGAAAACTCTGGCTCCAGACCACACACGAAGAACACAAAAAGTATAGGAAATTTGAATACTGACAATGGATTAGATATACTCGAAACTTTCGAACGTAAAGACATCGAAATATTTACAGAAGTTGCCACCCCTAATTCTGTGCATGAAGACTTCTCAAAGGAATCTACGGATCAGCCCAGAATATTGAATGTGGATAATGGAGGAAATATCTGGACAAATGAAAAAATCGAGGACTTGACTACCACAGAATATGTTCCGGTGTTTGATAATTACCCAGACCTTGGAGCACACACGAAGAACTCTGATATACGAAATTGGAATGTAGAGAATGGTGTCTCTGAGGAATCCACAGATCATTACAACATTTTTAATGTGGACAATGAAGGTCATGCCAGAACAACTGAGACGAAAACGGACTTCAACGAGGGTTCAATTACCGCAGAAGAGGGCCCTACTTCTTCAACAGAAAATACGCAATTATTAGACAAATATCCTGACCATGGAACATTCAATGAAGTTTCTGAAATGGGAGAACCTGACATATCTAATCATCAACAATCCACGAAGCTATCTGACGATTCTGCAAACAAAATTTCTTTCAATAGTTCCGAAGGTACTTCGATTGATTCTCAAGACAATTCGGATGTCGAGAAATTAAGCACAACTCCTCAGAGCATTAATACTTCTTCCGGAGAACTTGAAATTGCAGCTACCAAGATATCTTCGACTACCAGTGAATACAACATCGGGCCTGATGAAACCACTGCGATTAATGATGATTTGAAATCCTCCACTATTCCTAGTATGGTTCCAAATATTAAGAATTCAGGTGAAATCATTGAGAGTCTTCAAAATGCTCCCAAAGAACTTGAGGAAATTTATTCCACCTCTACCATCGAATACAACTCTGCTCAGGATGAAACCTCGTCGAGAAAAACTAATTTACAATTCCCTACTATTCAACGCATTATTTCCAACGGAAGTGATTCAAATCTTGAAGAGAGTGAAACATCAACTACCATAAAATACAACTCTGTAATCGATCATAACCTCGGTACGGAATCGACTGTGCGCCTTATGGACTCTGAGACCACTCCAACATCGAATTTAATTCCTATACATAAAAATTCTCTCAATGAACTTGAGAATAGTTTCAAGGAACCGAAAACTCCGACTATCATAAAATACAACTCTATGGAGACTACCACAACCATAAAATACAACTCTGCAACGGATCTTAACCCGGCTAAAGAATCAACTGTGCATGTGGGGTACTATGAAACCACTACATCACCCAATTTAATTCCCATGCATAAAAATTCTCTCAGCGAACTTGAAAATACCTCCAAAGAACCGAAAACCACGACTTTGACAAAGTACAACTCTGTAGAGAGTACCACTACCACTAGTACCATAAAATACAATTCTGTATTGGATCACAGCCCGTCTAAAGATTTAACGGAGCTAGTAACGGACTCTGAACCCACCACTACCTCTGGCAATTTAATGCCCATACAAAAAACAGCACCCAAGGAGCATGGAAATACACCGAATGAAACGAAGTCAGATGCCAAACAAAAATACAACCCTGAATCGGATGATAAAGAGAGTGGATCCAAAGAAACTACTACCACAAAATACAACCCTGTACTGGATACGAAGGGTAGCCAGCCAACAAAATTAAGCACGATTTTGTTAACAACACAAACAACAACAACTCCAATACCAGCTACAAAATCTCAACACATTCCCAAGAAACGTAGAAGACCAATTATCCCTCCCCCTACTAAGACACCTTCTACGCCACATGGTCCACCACCACCACCACCCTCAATGAACGATAATACCAACAACAATGAAATTACCAACTCTTCGGTTAAATTAAATAATTCCATAATGATTGCTGGCGGGGTAAATATCAATCTGAATCCAGCGACCCGATTCAATTTCGAAGATTTTTGTTTGAAACCGGGGAATAATTGTACGAAACTTTGTTGTGGTCCCAACGCCATCTGTAGCCTGGAAGAGGGTTGTAAATGTCGAAATGGGTTTGTGGAAACGATATTACGAAATACCAAAGGTATACGATGTACTGCTGCAACTGCGGAACCTGACATTCTGACCGTTCGAACACCCACTTGGTATATATTTATAGGTATAATGTGTTTGATATTAGCCCTAATATATATGTGTGTACAGTACTTCAATATGCTTCAGGTTGTTAGGCGTTATGTGTAAAACGTAGTCCTCCTAATAAGGTTAAGTTTTAAAAATGTAAATAATTTAAAAGTAGGGATTTGAAAAATAAAACGAAAAATATTAAATTTATATTTGAAATTGTGTTTAATTTATAAAAATTATTTTTCAAGTCCTCAGAAAAACGTGGATTATTATTTTTGAGGGTTAGACAAGGTATGGATTCTTGAAAACTTATTTTTGAAGACATAGGCAAGGCGTGGAATTTAAAAAAAACATATTTTTTAGGCATTAACACAAGAAACATCCGACAACGGCATGATGTTGATTGACTTCGCGGCAGCAAAAAAGCATGGTAGTTAGCAGCTCCAGATTCAAGCATCTCGATATACACAAGGCCACCTGGATCTCCCCTGATCAAGCAACGTGAAATCAATCTGATCACGTTGTGATAAACGGGAGGCATTCATTCAGTGTTTTAGAAGTTCGATCGATCCGAGGAGCGAATATCGATTCCGACCATTACCCCACTGTAGCAGCAAAGATGCGATCTAACACAGCACGGAAACTCGACGTCGAAAAGCTGCAAACACAACAGGTAGCCGAGGCCTACTCCGCGCAACTTACCCATCAGCTTGAAGAAAGCACTTCTTGTCCCGATAATAGTATAGAAGCACAATGGCAAAGAATTGCCCACTCCCTACAAACTGCAGCAAAAGCAATACTTGGGTACAAAAAACCACCACCAAGAAACCCGTGGTACGATCAGGAGTGTCGTAATGCTACTGATGTGAAAAACGCAGCGTATAGGGCAACCCTGCGGACAGTAGCAGCTTATAGGGCAACCCGTAACGCGATGAAGAATTGTCGGAAGAAGAGAGAAGAGAAGAGAAACGTGTTTTCAGGAAAAAGAAGGAAAGAACAAAAAAAAAAAACGTGAGCGTCAGCAAATCGAGATATACAGGAGTCGGAATGAAGTCCGGAAATTTTACCAACGAGTAAAACACCAAACCGAAGGCTTTAGTGCAGGCACATCCTCCTGTAGATATGAAGAAGGAAACCTGGTGACAGATACAGACAGCGTGTTGAGGATCTGGAAGGAGCATTTTGAAAAGCTACTGCTATCAAATAGTGGCATTGAAGAAGATGCCCCAGAACCAATAAGAGATGATGGTGAACATCTGGAAGGAGCATTTTGAAAAGCTTCTGGCATTAAATAGTGGCGTTGATGAAGATACCCCAGAACCAATTGGAGATGACTGTATAGAGTGAATACCACCTAGCCAAGATGAGGTCAGAAAAGCAATTAATCGGCTCAAGAACAATAAAGCAGCAGGAGCCGATGGATTACCAGCCGAACTATTCAAGACTGGTGGCTAAATGCTGGTCAGGAGCATGCACCAGCTGATTAGTTCAATTTGGCTAGAGCAATGCTTACCCAATGATTAGAACCTCAGCATCCAGCGTCCCGTGCACAAAAAAATAAGACAAGACGATATTTGCTAACTATAGAGGAATAAGTATCCTTCCCATCGCATATAAAGTGCTATCCAGTGTGCTGTGTGAACGACTGAAGCCAATGGTCATTGACATCATTGGACCATACCAATGCGGCTTAAGACCTGGCAAATCCACCATTGACCAGATGTTCACTCTGTGCCAAAATTTGGAAAAAAACCCTCGAAAAACACACATACCACCTATTAGTCGACAGCCCTATCCGTTCAGAGGTGTTTAAAGCCATGTCTACGTTCGGCATTCCCGCAAAATTAATACGGCTATGCAGGATAACTTTAAGTGACACAAAGTCAGCAGTTAAAGTAGGAAAGGACCTATCGGAGCCCTTCAATGCCGAAGGAGGATTCAGACAAGGCGACAGTTTGTCGTGTGATTTTTATAACATCCTGCTGGAAAAGATCATACGAGACGCAAAGGTGAACATAAATGGCACTCTGTACACCGAACATCATATGTTACTTACCTACGACGATGACATCGATATAATGGGTCGAAAATTGCGAGCGGTAACCGCCACCTTTGAACAAATTGAAAAGGAGTCTGCCAAAGTGGGTCTAGCAGACAAGGCGACAGTTTGTCGTGTGATCTTTTTAACATCCTGCTGGAAAAGATCATACGAGACGCAAAGGTGAACAGAAATGGCACTCTGTAAACCAAACAACAAATGTTACTTGCCTACGCCGATGACATCGATATAATGGGTCGAACATTGCCAGCGGTAACAGCCACCTTTGAACAAATTGAAAAGGAGTCTGCCAAAGTGGGTCTGGCAGTAAACGGCGAGAAGACCAAGCTAATGGTATCAACACGCAAGACGTCCACTAGACTCGGACCAACTGTGGAACTTGAGAACTACAGCTTCGAGGTAGTTGAAGATTTTATATACCTAGGTACCGCCATAAATAAAACGAATGCCATCAGTTTTGAAATTCGGAGAAGAATTGTGATGGCCAACAGATGCTACTATGGTCTATGTAAGCAGTTTAGAAACAAGCCCTACTCCCGCCCGCCCAAACTCAAACTTTAGACGCTGATACTACCCGTAGTTATATGGATCTGAAGCATGGGTAAAGCAATGAGGCTTTGCCGTTGGGGTGTTTGAACGAAAAATTCTCCCGAAAGATCTACGGGCCGATCTGCCCGGTGAAACTCAAAGCTTTACAATTTATACGCGGACATCGACATAGTCAGTCGTAATGAGCTGCAGCGACTACGGTGGCTAGGCCATGTTGTGCAAATGAATGAGAATGACCCAGCTCACGCGCTTGGAAATCTTTTTTAAGCTCGGCCTATGGAACAACCGTTCTGTAACAAGCCAGCCAAGTAAAGTAAGTATGTAAGTAACACAAGGCGTGGATTTTTTAAAAATTATTTTTTAATCATAACCACAAGCCAAGGATTTTTAAAAATTATTTTTTAGTCATTACCACAATTTGTTAATATGTTGGGTATGTAATTGATGATTACTTTTAATAGAGATGGAAATCGAAATAACTAATCATAAGAATAATCTAGAATTAGAATTATCTATAAATAGAATCAGCTAGAATATGTAAGAAGTAGATAAAATAAGTTGTAACCATAGAACATAGTCTCAGTTGTCAAGTATAAGCTGAGTTGTTAAGTATCGGCTCGATCTGTAAAGTATCGTCATAAGTGTAAAGTAACGAGTGCTGTAAATAAAGGTTTGAGTGCTGTAAATAAAGTTTGACAACCCCGAATCAAAAGTCTGGTTAACTTCTGTGGACATCGCTGGATCATATAGAACAATATTTTCAAGGCGTGGATTTTGTTTAAAAATTATTTTTTGTGGCATTACCACAAGGCGTGGTTTTTTATACCCTTCACCACACTGTGGTACAGGGTATTATGTCATTGTGCATATGTTTGTAACAGGCAAAAATAATCGAGATAGACCCATGGTTCCTTTTGAGAATATGCATAGAATCACTTTCTAAGTCGATTTATGCATGTCCGTCCGTCTGTCTGTCTGTCCATGTTAAATTGTAAACAAAGTACAGGTCGCATTTATGATCCGAATTGGATGAAATTTGGCACAGCTCATTTGTTTGGCCCAAGGACGAACCCTATTGAAAGTGGGAAAAATCTGTTCAAATTTAGATATAGCTTACATATATAATTTCGTCCGATTTAAGGTAAATTGTGCACCAAAGACCATATATATCTTTCAATTGGCACGAAATTTGGCACAGTGTAATGAATAAGGTCACGAATTATGTGCGCAAAGTTTCGCGAAAATCGTTTCAGATTTAGATATAGCTCCCATCAGCAACGTACACAGAATTTCATTTCGGGGGGGCCCGGTAGTACAAAATGAAAAAATTCGCTGTTGCAAACATAAATTTACTGTGAAAAAAATTCATTTCGGGGGGGGGGCACGGGCCCCCAGGGCCGCCCCCCTGCGTACGTCCCTGGCTCCCATATATATCTTCGTCCGATTTAAGGTAAATGGTGCACCAAAGTGCCTATATATCTTTCGATTTGCACGAAATGTGGCACAACGTACTAAATTAAGTCTAGAATGATGTGTGCAAAGTTTCGTGAAAATCGGTTCAGATTTAGATATAGCTCCCATATATAGTTTCGCCCGATTTTAGGTAAATAGTCCTCTAGAGCCCCTATATATCTTTCGATTTGCACGAAATTCGGCATAGCATACTGAATTAAGTCTAGAATGATGTGTGCAATGTTTCGTGAAAATCAGTTCAGATTTAGATGTAGCTCCCATATATAGCTTCGTCCGATTTAAGGTAAATTGTGTACCAAAGCCCCTATATATCTTTCGATTTGCACGAAATTTGGCATAGCGTACAGCATTAAGTGTAGAATGGTGTGTGCAGGGTTTCGTGAAAATCGGTTCTGATTTAGATATAGCTCATATATATTCATCCGATTTAAGGTAATTTGTGCATCAAAGACCCTGTATATCTTTCGATTTGCACGAAATTTGGCACAGCGTACTGAATTTCGTCTGTAATAATGTTCTTGTATATAATTTCATGTCAATATTTTCTTCGAGAATTCTACGTCTTATAGGAGACAACATACCCAAAGTGGTGAAGGGTATCATTTAAAAAATGAT